GAAGAGGACCAAGGCCATCCCTGTTGGGGATCCCATGTGTGAAGAGACACGCATGGGTGCCCTCATCAGTAAACCCCACATGGAAAAAGTGCTGGGCTTCATCAAGCAAGCAAAAGAGCAGGTACTGCAGTACAGTGATGTCAACATTAAATAAATTTATTTTGTAAATGCATCATAGATTTTATTGTGAACGATGTGTCCAAATATGTTTAAAAAAAAATTTGACCTCGCAATGTTTAATTAAAATGTCAACTCAATCTTCTGCTAAAAATGACAAATTTCTCTCTGGTTACATATGCCAGATGTATCCAGTCATTTCGTCTGCATAAACCCCACCCCTCCACAATTTACTGCAAGCTTGCATTCATGTTTTTTTGTGCAACGCCCACATCTCAAAATCCAATCCACTACTTTTCTTTTTCTTTTCCAAAAATCCGACTCAAATATACCTCACGGTATGGAAGACAAGGTCTTTCACTTCTTCCATTTTATCACGACTTGAACTACTTTATTGCACTTTGTTTGTTCAAATATTGTTCATGTAGGTGAAAAAAAAACTTTTATCATTGTTGCTTTAGGGTGCAAAGGTTTTATGTGGGGGAGAACGATTTGTTCCCAGTGATCCCAAACTGAAAGATGGTTACTTTGTGTCCCCATGTGTGCTGGGTGAGAAAGCCATATTATTACCTTCATATTAATTTGTATGTTATATAACAAATGCTTTAACTTTATCTCAAAACCAGCTTGATTCTGAGTCACCTTTTCTTTATCTGTACTTAAGTTTACTGTACTACAATATACACACAGACAACTGCAGGGATGATATGACCTGTGTGAAGGAGGAGATCTTTGGCCCCGTGATGTCTGTTCTGCCTTTTGACACGGAGGACGAAGTTCTTCAAAGAGCCAACAACACAACCTTTGGATTGGCATCTGGAGTCTTCACCAGGTGACTCCACCATACAACAATACAATACAATACAATATCCTTTCTGGTGATACCTGTTTTTTTTTATTTTTTATACTAAGCTGATATTTTAGCATTTTTGCATTTTCATTTATTATGATTATTAAATCGTTTTGTAGGAATCACTATCATTTAGTTATCTACAAAGTAAACTAGCTACCCTAATATTAGATTTAACATTCTCCTGTGCTCTGTTTTTGTAGGGATATAGCTCGTGCCCACAGAGTTGCTGAAAACCTTCAGGCAGGAACGTGCTACATCAACAACTACAATGTTGGCCCTGTGGAAGTTCCTTTTGGGGGCTACAAGATGTCAGGTACTCCAAACTTATGGTTTCATGGGTGATTATTGATGGTGTCATATACAGGAAAAGCTAAACCTAAATCTGTTCTGCCAAGAGTTTTAGTACACAAGTATATTTAGTAAAAGCCCGAGAGATCTAACATTAATATCCTTATTTTATTTTAGGGTTTGGAAGGGAGAATGGACAAGTGACCACAGAGTACTACTCTCAGCTCAAGACTGTTGTGGTGGAAATGGGAGATGTGGAAAGCCTTTTTTAGGCTATTGTGAGGTTAACCACCAGCATTCCTGACAGCAATGTGGTTTCCAAAGTTCTTATGAGCTATATGAAGTTTGCCATGTAACATCTTAAAAATGCATTTTATAACTAACAGTCCCTTACTTGAAATGTAGCCAAAAGCTACACTGTTGTTGTTTTGATTGTCCATATGTCTGTCTCAGACTTCCAGATTGTGTTGGTATGATATTACTAACATGTAAGAACACTAGAACAGGCTTAACTGTTTCAGTTCTGTGAAATGTTTGACAAACAGAATTTTTTTCACAATTTTCAAAATGCTAATAGTTCAAAATACTCATTAGCTCATTAAAAGCAAGTGCCTTCTGGTATGTTTCTACTGTAGTTATATTTCACAAATGTATTGTAGTCGCCTGGTGTTAGATTTGTTTGTTTTTCCTCACTATATCTCTACCACTCAACGCCATGAAGAATTTGTATTCGACTGGTGGTTGACAAGTTTGTAGTATTTCAAATAAAAGTACCCTGGATTTCAAGAGCAAAAAATTGTCTGTAACCTTACTTCACTTTTATGTAGCTTATGTCTGTGGTGTGAGAGGTTCCAAATGTTTGTCCTTACAGGCAATGATGGGGGTTATTGTGAATGAAAACGTGAATACTTTAGATGTGTAATAATATCAGGAAGTGTACTCTATAATTTATTAAATTCTATTTATTCCTCAACTAAATTAAGATAAGATGAAAACAATGTCACTGGAATCAGATTGCTGCAACATGTATGCATAATACATGCACTTGAAATGAAGAACATCAGTGGGAATATTCATACTACTTTAAATGTTTATTCCTTTTTACAAATTTGATTGGTCCCAGAAAATGTCTGGCTCTACCGAGTTTATTTTTGACACAGAGGAGCTTTTTCAAAGAGAAATTATCTCCTCTAAGGTTACAAAAAGAATTCTAAATACAATAAAAAATTAATAAAACCTTTTTGGATTGGATTATATGGAGTAAATTATAACTTTCGCCGAGGGGGCTCATCATGGGTAATTAAGAAAATGAGATTTATACATATCTACGGGCAATACATTCACCGCGCGACTCTCTCAGTGCATTATGGGTATTTTCTAGCCGTTGAGCATACATCAATTGTATAGTCCTTATTGCTGTGCATTGTGGGATTGAATGAGTGAACTTGATAATGTCCACTAAGGTCTCAGACAGACACCACTAAAAATGGCAGTCCCCTCAAATAGTGCCCTATTTAAAGGGTACAGAAGACGATTTCAGACACAGGGCTCCTTTGCGGACATGTGATCCCTCTTCAAAATACTTCCGAGGGAAACAAATTACTAAATCACAGTTCCTCGCACCACCCGGAAGAACAGTGGCGCAGTTGGACTTGGTGACTTGTCGGAAAGGGCAAAATCTGATTGGTGACAGCTAGGTAAGTATGTTTTTTTCAGACTAGAAGGACAGGTTTCAGAGCTATTTGTTCTACGTGCCAACATTGCTTTTTAGCAGCCGCGTTTTTTCCGGTGTACCGCTGTATTTCAGGTTGTAATGTTCCTCCTGCATTAACTGTTTAAATATTACTATAATTTCGTGTCACCGGGGCAACTGTGGTTCACATGTTTGTTAATGTGTTGTTTCTACATTCTGGTCCATCTCAGATGCCCTGCTACAACACAGCACACGGATACAGGAAGCATTTGTGCAAGAGAAATGGCAAACAAAGGCAACAGTGGTAAATATACAAAATGTTTTTGAAATGTTATGTTTAAATATGTAA